TGCGGTCGGAATATTTCTTTTGTGACGTATGTAGTGCAATGTTTCCCTTATTAGTTTGTTTTAAGATTTGATATTCATACGAGGAAATTTCTGAAAATTGGTAGATGTACAAGTGCGCCATAAAAAAGTTTTATTCTTCTTTTAGTCGCCGTTCTCGTTCAAAACGTATCTGCTTAGTGCTTTAAAAGGACAATTGATGAACAAAAAACGAACAACTGCGATGGGGGAGTTCGACTTGCTAGTTAGGATTATGACTAAAAGCGGAATTGGACGACACGAAGTCCCATTACCAATTGTAATGAAAACTACATGACAACAACTGAGAAACAAACTAGCCATCCATGAAACGTTTTCATGATCATAAGGGAAGGGCGAGAATGGGAAAATTCTTTTCATTCTGTCCAACGTCGTTGCTACACGAAAATGAAAGCTTGATTGAGTCACATAGTCGATTCGGCACACAATGTTACGCCAGAAATCACGGATTTGACCTCAGAGCGTTTTTGTAGAAGTCACGCTCTTCTCAAAGACCTTTGTGAAAACTTGGATCGTTCGCAGCTATGATAAGGGTAAGCCTCTCTTCTAACACACTATCAATTTTCTTATATAAAACATGTCTGTCTCAAGTGATAGCTTCATAATGAGCTTTGAATTTCTGAGGTCAAGCTAAACTCAAATAATTCTCAGATGTATTGCATGTCAAACATGTCTTTAGGTATCTTATGTAATTGGTCAATATTAGTAGCATTGCAATCAAAAGATTACTAACTGAAGTTGTTTAACAGATATTTTGCGTCACGGTAGTTGCTAATTATGCCGCGATCATCGATTGCAGTGTTAGTCTGCGAGTGTTTTGCTCTCTGTTCTAAAAGCAAATTCAACTTTACACAAAACATGTGACAAAATAGAAAAGAAAACAGATGACATCTATGAGCAGCAATTTTATTCTGCCTAAGGTCACAGTTCCGTTTTCCTCTTATTCTGATGTACGAAATCACAAACATGCGTGAAGGGATTGGTCACCAAAAATTAAAAAACCGCCAAAGATAGATAATGATTTCATCCCACAATAAGGACCACCACGTTCCCTTCGTCTGTGACGAAAGAGTCCAGTCTCTGACTTATTATCTCACGAGAAAAGAATATTGTTACAATTAAATTGGCTGGAAGAACGAAACTGCAAAGTGGAGGAAGGGGAGAAAGATAATTTCCGGAGTAGAAAGAACAGAAAAAGTTAGGAGACAAAGGATTCCGGTTTCCCTTCACAATTATTCCGGGTGAAACAA